GTGTGTGTGTGTGTGTGTATGGTGACCCCGCTGTCATACTGGGAAAGGATAGGTGACAGATCACAGAGTGGGGGAGCAGTCCCCTGTAGCGGGATCAGACAAGCTGTTAGCGTGCAGTAAAAATAAACTGAGGTCACACCGTAAATCCACAGTATGTGCAATTTGTGTAAAGTGTGTGCAAATTTGTTGCATTAGACAGAGCACAGTGCCAGTAAAGGCCTCAGGTAGGGAAGCACATTTTATCACCATATTGCCATACAAACTCAAGGTACTAATGTGTCTTGATAAAGCAAAATTATCTGATCTGGTGCCACTATCTACTTACTCAATTATTGAAAACAAAATTGTTGATGAACCAATTTATCATGCTTAATAATACAGCACCAATTAAATAATTACAGATGTGTGTCTCTTCGTACAAACACAGTTCATTGTACTTTAACAACTTATGTCTGCAGTATTTTATGTATTTTCACTTACAGTATTGCTCAAAGTAGAGTTTATTTCACATTGTGTCTATCATTATTGCAAGACATTAAATCAATAATTGGTTTAAATGTATGTAAAACTGCAAAAAAGTCTGTACTGTCCAAAAGACAGGTTGTAGTGCCCATGCCTTTCAAAACGTAGCCACTGCAGCTGGATCAGTCCAATTTACAACATAGCCTTAGACACTCCATTGCATCAAATTTCCCACCCTAGCCAATCAAACCTGCCTCTTCACTTCTCCTTACAGCAGGCTGTTATCATCATCTAAATAACCATGATGAATCTAAAAATCACAATATAAAACAAATAAAATTAGTACCGTTTAATAACGGTAATGTTAATCTCATTTTTCTCTAAACTGCCTATGTCTGTGTCTTATTTTTAGATGTGTGTTGCACATTTTGAAGCTTTTTTTCACACATGAAACCGGCAACCAAGCTGGCTTCAAACATCCATATGTTGGCATTCAAAAAAGGTCTTCCATATACATCGGAGTCAAGTATTGTTTCAGATCATAGTTTTTTTCCTAAACCCAACATACACTTTTAGCATTGCTGAAAAACTGCTTTTATTTGAAAGTTGTGACACCAAAGAAGAAGAAAATCCCCAGTTGTCACACAGTTTCCCAAAACGAAGTCAGAGCTCCCATTTAATTTTCAGGAAAGTGGCTCAAGACACACTAAAATACAGAGTTTCTGCATGAATGTTTTTGATTAGTTATGCACATTAACCTACTGTGTTTTATTATCTTGCAGTGAAATGCTCCTGTAGGAAATCCTGTGTTACGTAATGAAACCAGGATAAATATCTAAAAACTATAGAAAATATGAATGTATTTATTATTACTTTTAGTAAAAGCAATGTCATGGCCACTGATGCTATTGTCCAAGAACTAATTAGAACTAACTAACTATTTGAACTAATAATATTCTCAGTTACGTTATCTTTAAATATATATTTGTAATGAGGTTAATGAAACCACCACCGCCTCCAAAACTATATTTGCTAGTTTGTAGTTGTAGTCTGAAACGGCAGTTTTCCACTCAATTTTAATTTCACAATGTTTATTTGCTTCAAATTGTTGCTGACTAAAAATGCAAATGTCCCATAAATGGTAATATCCCTGGCAATTACTTTGTAGAGCTTGGCTCATGCTGCACACACACCTAAACCAAACCGACTGATTAAATAGTGCTGCACTGTCATTATGATCCTGCTGAGTAAACTCCTCTTAGTTGTCTTGTTTGATTAGAAATAAATCTTGAGGCTTTGGGAGATTTTCCTTTGAGCACCAATCCATCTCAGGTAGTTATTTAGTTGGCGATGTGATGTGCAGTTAGTACTGCAGTGTTAAAGCCCAGTCTGAGGAAGGTTTTTCTCTGTGGCCATGTTGATGACTGCCTGTGAATACAAGGGGGTGTTGAGGAGGAGCTAATCTCTTGCATAAATTATGAAGGCCTGATGAATATTTCAATGGAGCCTGTTTCCTTCTTCGTTGATTTTCCGCTCAGCTCTCAGGAAGCATGTTTGCCAAGGAAAGGTTATTTTAATTTGAACTCGCAAAGACATTTGAAATTGCAAAAATGATTCATTAGGTTTTGTGTTTCTTTTTTTTTTTTTTT